ATATTGTGTTACATGTGAGTCCACATGTGTTACCTAACATTATATTGTGTTACCTGTGAGTCCACAAGTGAAACTTAACATTATATTGTGTTACCTGTACTTTGGGTCTGGGAGCTATATATATACTACTGCACCCAGATACAAACAACATCATACCAGTGTGCCTTACAAAAAAACTCAATAGTATAATACTACACCCACACATAAACTCAATAATTACACTGTACCCTAAACAATAACTCCATAACAACTCATACATTACTGTACTGCTTAACACATAAACCCAATATCATATTGAATCCCACACAATGAAAACAATATCACACTGAATCCCACACGAAATTCAATATCCTAATGCATCCCACAAAGTAATTAGTGATCAATGCAGTGTTTTAGCTCATGAATGCAATGCAGAAATTATGCAATGGCTGTCACTTTGGAACTTCAATCATAATGACTATATTATGTAAGCTGTATTTGTTTCATTCACCGACACCATTATATTGAAAATATACCGAGGGCAAATTATAAGTACAACCCATTCACAATACTATAGTTATTTCAGCAATCTGCAATGTTTCTCATTCTCTTAATATTTTTCTTGAAATGCTATTCAATGCTATCCAGTTGTATTTTTCTTATCCCACCTCAATGATTTAGTGGCTGGTACTCAAAATATCATTATGAATATCTTACTGACTCAGGGCTCTCAAACCCAATTTTGGGACTGGGGCCCGGGGCCCTTAGAATTGGGAAAAATAGCGGCGTTTTCCTTAGAATTGGGAAAACTTCAGCCCCAAATCTGGCAGATCGAGAGCCCTGTGACTTCTTTCGTTCTTTTACTCATCCATCAATCACCCTCTATACTTCAAGGTATACAGGTGAAAGGTCCAAGAACATAGAATCCTCCACTGAAGTTAACTAAGTGTTGGCTCAAAACCCATCCCACACCTACTGTTTTTTCTGGGTTATAAGCTGCACCCGTATATTAGTAGCTCCGTATATTAGCAGCTGAGCCAACTTTTGCATTTTTTTTCATTTGATCCACATATAAGCCGCACCTTTTCTTATGGGTGCAGCTTATAGCCCAGATTGGTCATTGAACGGTATAACCAATCTGGGCTATAAGCTGCACCCATATATTAGCAGCTCCGTACATTAGCAGCTGAGCCAACTTTAGCAATTTTTGTTTCATTTGATCCACATATAAGCCGCACCCTTTCTTATACAGTTACCATTCAATGACCAAAGTTAACAGATATAACTGACAACGGAGGACAATTTATCAAGATCATGAGTGAAACATCTAATAAAGTTTGCAAATTAATTATACACAGGGTGCCTTCACAGAATGCTGACAAATGTCTTATAGTCCCATATTATGTTTTCTTGTAAATTACACAAAGCCATTCACATCGTAAACAAGCATGGCAGTAATTCTAGAATTTGACCTATAACCCCATGTCCTAGCAATCCCAGGATGCAAAAGGCTATTGTAAACTTCCTCTATTGCTTCAAAGTAACCATGAAAGTCCAGAAGATATTATTCTGATTCATCTTAAAAGGTATGATTAATTAAATCCACAAGAACATTATTTTTATTTCAATCTTCAAATCATCCTCTTTACAATTGCAAATGACAGTTCTAGACAATATGTTTCAGTCACAAACACATGAAGGGCAGGTACTTGTGAAAAACTGTTTTTTTTTCTCTAATTCATCCAGCCTATTTTTTTTTTGGTGGTCCACATATAATCTGCAATGTTATATACGCCGCACATCCAACTCGCAAAGCTATATTTCAGTCGATCAATGACAATATCATAAAATCTCTCCTCTTTCTATAGCTAAAGTAATGCCCTCCTTACCAGTTCCATATTTAAACTTAATAATTAAAATCATATTCTCTGTCACTGACATAGCTGTTATTTGACCCTCACTGACAAATTAACTTTCTGTACTCAGTAATTCTTGAAGGCTATTTTTGCTGGTGAGACCGAAACACTATTTCCAGAATTTTGATGGGTCTAGTAACAAAGACCTAAAATGGGCCCTGAAAATTAGAGCAAACCTCAAAGCGAAAAAGCATGAGTCAATGACTCAAATATTTGAGTCCCAAAAATCATTAATCATGATATCTGAAGACATCATAAAACAAAGCTCTTGCATCGAGATTCCTTTAGGATGTCTTGCATAATTGAGCATCAGTTACACATGCCCTTTTTCCCTTATGACGTCTATAAATATCATTAAACATATTTGTGCATCTCACCAATTAGGCATCACTGTATGGAAGAATAGGCCTTTAAAAAGTAACAAGAGGCCCATCGGCCTTCATGGTCATCTGACATAAAATACAAGATTTCAAATTTTGAACTTGAGAAGAAGTTGAAAATGTGTTTTTAAGATGGCGGCCATGTTGGATTTCGGCCCAACCCGAAACTTTGGTCAGGATCATGTCACGATCATTTCAGGTAAGTTTCAGCTCAATGAGACATGTAGAACTTGAGAAGAAGTTGAAAATGTTTACAACGGACCACGCCAGACGAAAGGCGATCGCAATAGGTCTGATCTGACCTTAAAAGTATCAAACATAGAAATAATGATAAATAATGCCATGTGTTACAAGCGTAATGATTTGTTAAGAACCTGGTGTTCAATTATTACCTTAAAAGGCGAAATCATATTAATGAAGTGATTCTCCTATCAAAACTAGTAACAGTCATTGTGAAAAGTAGGCTACTTCTGAAGAAATAGAATGCTATAGTTTCTAATCTAATTGCCATGAGTTATGAAATAAAGTAAAATTTGTTTGTGTCAAACATGCTTGAATAGAATACATCAGATGAGTCAATTAATTTGTTCGACCTGATTATTTTTCTTCTGTATCTTTATAAATTAAACACGAATGATTCCAACAGTGTTGAGTTAAATACTGTGTTTGTGTCAAATGTATTTTTGGGGCCATCCCTTCTATATTCTACAAAAATTTCCTTTTTTGTGTTGAACATTCCAGGGGTCATCTTATCTAAGGTTAAAAATTCCTGTTAACGAACAATATTGTAAATTTCGATTGACCATTAATCCTTCCGCTATACAGGTGCACAAGCAAAAGTTTGGTGAACAAGCACAAGTTAGGTGCACAGGTGAATGTCTGAATTTATAAAGAATTAGGACACCAAACTTAAAATAAAATACTGTAGTCTGTTAATCGTAAACCTACTGTGTTTTGTTTACTTTTTAATGTGCATGGCTGGCGGAAACCAAAAGGGAAAAATAAGCAATAACTACTGCATCGATGCAGAATAATAAAACAAGTTTGTCAATGACAGATTACTTTATGATAAAATTTATTCACTGAATATATATAAATGTACACAATGTACTTCAACAAACTGAAACGTAATTCTTTACTATTCTAAGGTATAGGCTCCAACAATTGTACAGTGCTGTTCCTGTAAAGTTATGCTTCAGCAACATTGTCGCTGCCTTTACCTTTTCATAACCCAGCTCAGTGCAATCAATGTTATATCGATACATGAGTTTCGTGTTGTTGACAGGACTTGTTACTCTTAAGGATATAAACACCAGTACAATATTTGTATGACTTTATCAATTTCACTAAGTTATGTGTATGAGAATGGGTACGACATATCCACGCATTTGCTGCAACGACAAGTGTTCACATCGTGTCTCTTTTGTTTTATATTCGTACTCATAACTGTTTATTTGAATAAAAATTGTTAGTGTTTAAAAATTTGAAACTTTTTTATTTCTATTACTTATTCACTACCGTAACACCATGCTATGAGTCACATATCCAGTATTCAGTAGAAATACGGCTAAAACGAACCATCAGATAAGTCAGATATTTCATCCTGCTAACTTTGACTTATCCGTGTTTTATTGCATGTAAATTTTGCTGTAAGTTGTACGAAATGAAAACATTAATGAAGTGTTGTTTTAAAAGACTATTTCAATGAGCTGACCAAAGAAACATAATTTGTCCCATAGACAGGTTCTAACCACTTCCAGACAGACCAATCATTGGCAAAAGTGGCCATTGTGTGCAGTCCGTGCCAGACACTGAGCGATATAAAATATTGTATAACCTTTTTTACACTTCAGCCGAAAATACTCTAGAAAGTATCTCCGCATTCAAAAAATTGAGAGACTTTGATGGAGTTGGAAATATCTGGATTATTTTATAAAAGAGAGATTTAAGGATTAGCATAAAAATGTCCAGTCTAAATCAGGGTGGGAGGGTGGGGGGCATAATTTGCCATGACTTTCTATTACACATACTTAATTATAAGAATTGAATCACTTTCAGGTAATGCAATCATGTTTTGTTGTAAAATATTGTATCAAAGCTTAATGCCCCCGTCTGCTTCCTTAATGTAATGTTTCTCACAAAATATGATATTAAGCTGATTTCTCTGTATATCGCACCCCTACAACCAATTGAAACATGCATACTTTTATAATAACAAGAATTGGTTTTTTTTAATCACCCATCCTCAGCAACAGTTCAACAAAATGATGTTATGATTACCAAATAGGGCAGGGGATGTCAATTCACATTGCCAGAGCATTGACAGTCGTCGCTGAAATGATACCTGGCAACAGGAGACATTGCAGAGACAGAAAACCTGTAAATAACAAACTAGGGATGCCCAACCCCAACCCCTTCCTTGTTCCAATTCCTGAATCCTAAATTGGTACAAATTGCAGTATTTTATTCAACTCCAACATTGTTTTATTTTGAATAGTTAATATTCTTGTGACATTAGTTGTATAAATGTACAGATAAGAGATACAATCGAGTTGTGTATTCCACAACACACTACACGTTCACCATACACAACACTGAACTTTATCTACTGGCCTCAATAGACACCACTAGACGGAAGGCAAAACACGGGGGATTCAACCAACATTATCGTACAATTATAGGATATGAATCCAATTAAATCAATTAACAAAGTTCATAACCATACCTTGTTGATGTGCCCTTTCTCACATCACACATCTCACACTTGTAAGCTTCAGGGGAGTTTTTGTAAGTACACACACTGCAATCCCATGCACCTTCGTCTGGAGGTTTCTGGCGCTTAGATCTAGGAATTGTAGGAAATGGGTAAATTGAAGTCTTATTTGAAATAATATCTTGATGATATTTTATCTAAACAGTTATCATGACTTCGAAACCGACCTTGTACGTGCTAAAATCATAACAATGGCTTACGCGAGGCCGTGAACTTGGCGATCTAAATACGTTACATTCGCTTAGTCTGGCGCTGCTAGCCGCCTTATTATTTATTCATTTCCAATAATTTTTTGATATTATTGTAAATGGACCACGATTTACCTGCTGAATATTCGTTTTTCGTCCATGAGGGGACAGATCACCAGTAATCAGTACAAAAACAACGATATAGTTGGTTTTCTTTCCCTCTTGGGTTCCGTCAATATGGCGGACAGTTTACACACGTGACCTAAATTAATCCAATGAGCGGAAGTAGAATAAACGTCATATCGCGGGAAAGTGTAAACCATCACATAACAAGTGCGAGTATGTTTGTTAGCCTAATGTCGCAGAACTTCAATATAACTTATTTACTTAAGTGACCGAGTCCATCAAAGTATCGTCAAAGAGTTGAAATCACAACCATATGGACAGATGTTACATGGTTATACATTTTAACGATGTTTCAAAGCAATGGTCATCAGTACTAGTTAGGATTTTCAATCAATTCTTGACAGTAATTGATAAAAGATTAATTAATCAATTCAACCATCTGACGCGTAATTGCATTTTCCGTGTTATTTGGCTATTCTATAGACAGCCAGTCATAGTCAAACCCCAAAGGAAAATCAATTTTGACAAGAACATGTGATACATGATATCGACAGTTTAGAGAACTGTTTTACTATTGGTCTAGACAGATTCTCGGTAGACCTACTCATTTGAAATAACTAAATGAATACATTTATTATCATCAATCGTTAACCACTTTGAATGATCTAGGTTTTTTTCTTAAGATATACGGTTGTTTAGTATGTTCGATGTACCTAATTGTTACAACCAATGAAAACATTGCGTTGACGCTGGTTTATTCGTAACAAGTTTAATTTGATTTCATTGAGAAGTTTCAAATAATTATAGCAAATATTTATTTTGACGATTTTCAACGATATTTTCACTGTACAACTTATTCAATGCGAATTCTTAATAAAAATGGACAACACATTCCCGTGTCTAATAATGTACGGAGTGAAGGAAACCAGACATATTTGTCTTTTTGCGAAAAAGCGCCATCGCTTTGTCGCGATGACGACCGGCAGTCATCTCGAAAATGTACTAAGCCACAAAAGGAGATGACATACATGTATTTCTTTCCAAATTTCATAAAAAGTGTCGTATATACTGTACGGCATTATATAGAAATTTTGAATTTGAAAAATACCGATTTGTTTACAAAATCGGCATTCAAATTCACACGGAGAACTTCAAAAAGTTACTAAGAAAAATAATACAATTTGATATATGTAGTGATGCAGACATCTCTGGCTTTATAAATACACGTGTACATCAGTGATTAAATTTCAGTTCAATACTTTTCCTGTAGCAGTACAAACCATATTAAACCCCGATTTCAATATTTCTAGATCCCCAGGAGGCTATTCAAGATGTCAATATATCTAGGTCCACTGGGAGGTCATTCCAGACATCAAATTCTCCAGATGCCCAGGAGAATTTTACAGATGTCAATATTTCTAGGTCCCCTGGGAGACTATTACAGATGTCGATATATCTAGCCCCCCTCGGTGGTCTCTGGGGATCTCTTGGGAGACTATTACACATGTCAATATTTCTAGGTCTCAGGGGAGACTATTACAGATGTCATTATATCTAGGTCTCCTGCGAGGCTGTTACAGATGTCAATATTTCTAGGTCTCATAGGAGACTATTACAGATGTCAATATTTCAAGGTCTTCCTGGGAGGCTATTACAGATGTCGATATATCTAGCCCCCCTCGGTGGTCTCTTGGGATCTCTTGGGAGGCTATTACAGATGTTAATATTTCTAGGTTCCCTGGGAGGCTATTACAGATGTCGATATATCTAGCCCCCTTCGGTGGTCTCTTAGGATCTCTTGGGAGACTATTACAAATGTCAATATCTCTTGGTCTTCTCGGAGACTATTACAGATGTTAATATCTCTAGGTTCCATGGGAGGCTATTTCAGATGTCGATATTTCTAGGTCTCATAGGAGACTATTACAGATGTCAATATTTCCAGGTTCCCTGGGAGGTTATTACAGATGTCGATATATCCAGCCCCCCCTCGGTGGTCTCTTGGGATCTCTTGGAAGGCTATTACACATGTCAATATCTCTAGGTCCCCTAGGAGACTATTACAGATGTTAATATTTCTAGGTCTCATAGGAGACTATTACAGATGTCAATATTTCAAGGTCTTCCTGGGAGGCTATTACAGATGTCGATATAGCCAGCCCCACTCGGTGGTCTCTTGGGATCTCTTGGAAGGCTATTACATATGTCAATATCTCTAGGTAACCTGGGAGACTATTACAGATGTTAATATCTCTAGGTCCCCTGGGAGACTATTACAGATGTTAATATCTCTAGGTTCCATGGGAGGCTATTTCAGATGTCGATATATCTAGGTCTCATGGGAGACTATTACAGATGTCAATATTTCCAGGCTCCCTGGGAGGTTATTACCCCACTCGGTGGTCTCTTGGGATCTCTTGGAAGGCTATTACATATGTCAATATCTCTAGGTCCCCTGGGAGACTATTACAGATGTCAATATTTCAAGGTCTTCCTGGGAGGCTATTACAGATGTCAATATTTCAAGGTCTTCCTGGGAGGTCGATATATCTAGCCCCCCCTGGTCTCTTGGGATCTCCTGGGAGGCTATTACAGATGTCAATATTTAGGAGACTATTACAGATGTTAATATTTCTAGGTCTCATAGGAGACTATTACAGATGTCAATATTTCAAGGTCTTCCTGGGAGGCTATTACAGATGTCGATATATCTAGCCCCCCTCGGTGGTCTCTTGGGATCTCTTGGAAGGCTATTACACATGTCAATATCTCTAGGTCCCCTAGGAGACTATTACAGATGTTAATATTTCTAGGTCTCATAGGAGACTATTACAGATGTCAATATTTCAAGGTCTTCCTGGGAGGCTATTACAGATGTCGATATATCTAGCCCCACTCGGTGGTCTCTTGAGATCTCTTGGAAGACTATTACAGATGTTAATATCTCTTGGTGTTCTCGGAGACTATTACAGATGTTAATATCTCTTGGTCTTCTCGGAGACTATTACAGATGTCAATATTTCTAGGTCTCCTGGGAGACTATTACAGATGTCAATATTTCCAGGTTCCCTGGGAGGTTATTACAGATGTCAATATTTCCAGGTTCCCTGCGAGGCTATTACAGATGTCAATATTTCAAGGTCTTCCTGGGAGACTATTACAGATGTCAGTATCTCTAGGTTCCCTATGAGACTATTACAGATGTCAATATTTCAAGGTCTCCTGCGAGGCTATTACAGATGTCGATATATCCAGCCCCCTTCGGTGGTCTCTTAGGATCTCTTGGGAGACTATTACAGATGTCAATATCTCTTGGTCTTCTCGAAGACTATTACAGATGTTAATATCTCTAGGTTCCATGGGAGGCTATTTCAGATGTCGATATTTCTAGGTCTCATGGGAGACTATTACATATGTCATTATATCTAGGTCTCCTGCGAGGCTATTACAGATCAATATCTCTAGGTTCCCTGGGAGACTATTACAGATGTCGATATTTCTCTGGGAGGCTATTACAGATGTCAATATCTCTAGGTTCCCTGGGAGACTATTACAGATGTCGATATCTCTAGGATCCTTGGGAGGCTATTACAGATGTCAATATTTCTAGATCTGATGGGAGACTATCACAGATGTCAATATCTCTAGGTCCCTAGGGAGACTATTTCAGATGTCAATATCTCTAGGTCCACTGGGAGACTATTACAGATGTCAATATCTCTAGATCTCCTGGGAGACTATTACAGATGTCAATATTTCCAGGTTCCCTGGGAGGTTATTACAGATGTCAATATTTCCAGGTTCCCTGCGAGGCTATTACAGATGTCAATATTTCAAGGTCTTCCTGGGAGACTATTACAGATGTCAGTATCTCTAGGTTCCCTATGAGACTATTACAGATGTCAATATTTCAAGGTCTCCTGCGAGGCTATTACAGATGTCGATATATCCAGCCCCCTTCGGTGGTCTCTTAGGATCTCTTGGGAGACTATTACAGATGTCAATATCTCTTGGTCTTCTCGAAGACTATTACAGATGTTAATATCTCTAGGTTCCATAGGAGGCTATTTCAGATGTCGATATTTCTAGGTCTCATGGGAGACTATTACAGATGTCATTATATCTAGGTCTCCTGCGAGGCTATTACAGATCAATATCTCTAGGTTCCCTGGGAGACTATTACAGATGTCAATATTTCTAGGTTCTTTGGGAGGCTATTACAGATGTCAATATCTCTTGGTCTCCTGGGAGGCTATTACAGATGTCAATATCTCTAGGTTCCTTGGGAGGCTATTACAGATGTCAATATTTCTAGATCTGATGGGAGACTATCACAGATGTCAATATCTCTAGGTCCCTAGGGAGACTATTACAGGTGTCAATATCTCTAGGTCCACTGGGAGACTATTACAGATGTCAATATCTCTAGATCTCATGGGAGACTATCACAGATGTCAATATCTCTAGGTTCCATGGGAGACTATTACAGATGTCAATATTTCTAGGTTCCCTGGGAGACTGTTACAGATGTCTATATCTCGTTGAGGCATCACAATAAAAATATGCTATTATTATAAAAATACCCGGTGTTCTACAAGTGTTAGTGTCTTCTGCTTGGGCATTTAATAGACTATGCAGGTTTTCTGTTCTAAACAAAAAGCATGTTTTTTATGCGAAATGCAAAAATGGTGCCGACTAGCTATATCACATCTGGGATATGCAAAAATATTGACCATCAAAATATATATTCATATAGAAAGGTGCTGTTCGCTTGCGTGTCTTTTGTTTTGCAATCCTTTGAGATCGCATGTGGTTTCCGGTGCTAGCGGGCTTAAGTTGCCGAAGCTTTCCGTAACTAGCATGCCACGTTTTGGTAAGTTTGAACAGTGGCAGGGTTCAGAATGTACACATGATTTGTAAATTTGAAGTGAAAATCAATACTGATTTTTGGGGTTAGTGTTCCTTCTAAACTCCTAAATTCTGACATCGCTTTCTATAAAGTTTTCCTCAGTCGCCTCTTAGGTTTAAACACTTCAAGTCCTTAGCACTAACGAGCCCTAGAAAGACGAACAACCCTGTTGATGCAGCTTAATTCATTGCTTGACG